AATTATCAAAGGTAAACGTAATACACCCGCTACAAATACAAAAATATTGATTTATATCGTTTACGAACTATCGTAAAATGACACCAATTTGTAAATAACAAACCTATTACGCAATTATTATTCCTTTTAAGTTCGCAGATCCTAAAAGTAGTTCTATTTGAATCAATTTATAACAATTGAAATTACTTGTAATAATTGCAGAAATAGTAAGTTAACGGGGAGACAAATTGAAATTAGTATAATCTTAATTTAGTATAATTTAAATTATTTTCTGGCTAATAAAGATTCTAAGGTAAACCAAAATTCACGGTGTACAAATTACAATTATGCTTCTTAGCATATGTTGAATTTTTTTCTGTGTTTAAAAAATATATTGCAACCAACGTTAAGAAAGTTCATTCAAGAGAATTATTGTCTTATAAGCATTACTATAATTACAATCCTTGTCAAATCAAGTCCTGGCTGTTAAACATAAAATGATTATCGTTATCAGTAGAAATAATTTTCATTTGAATGGGTTTCGGCCCTTAATTTTGCTCCTTGTCTATATCAGTGTATAACAAAGTGTTATGATACTACCGCCTCAAGCAGCTGACTTAAGGAAATTATTTATATGATACGACTAGTATTACACGATTGATATTATTTTAGAATTTGTTTAATTCAAAAAACAAAACAAAGCAACGGAAACCATAATCTTAATTTGAATATTACTTTATCATATGAATATATTCAGTTTCTAGCTCTTGTTTGGCTTTATGGGATTTATTTCAATAAACATTCAATCAGAGCAGAAATGGATTACTCGGTATAATTAAAAATGCTTCTGTATTTTGCTTTATTTACAGAAAAAATCCGTTCATCTGGACGCAGGAATCCGCAGTAGGTATTTATTTATATAAATCTTTAAATTTGTCTTTCGTGTTTAAATATAGAATAAAGGATTTTTTAAGCAATAAACACAATTGTATAAGAAAGTAATGCCATAGTTAACTAAGTCAATCAACTTCAACTACTATTTTGTATGCCGACAATTTTGTGTAATATTCTAATAAATATAGAACTAAAGCAAGAATTGAAAACTCCTATTTGAAACATCACATTTCATTGAAATAAGCGCTAAAACAAAATTATCACCATACCGTATGGTGTAAAGAGGATTCGCTAGGTATTTGAATAGAACACGCAAAACGACCGTTGTCGCGGAGGCGCAGTCTGTATCGGAATGGGCCGCAGGTGCCGATTAGAGCCGATCCCGATCAGATATTTTCTGCGCACGCAACACTATTACCTGGAGGATCGAAGATAAAGGATGCTTAGAGAATCCTCAAACATTAATAAATTAAATTTTAGATTTATAAAATGTTGTTTGTAACTCTTTTTTGCAAGCAAGGCGCAATTCTAGCACCCGCGTTCTAGTTCGAACGTACCTCAGTGATGCCAGATTGCTTTTTTTTAAGTGTATATGCTTTTGGTCGCCGATGACCTTTACAGCGTCACCGGGTTTGGGGATGACGTGATCCTAAGGGGACCTCATGCCAAGAATTGGCGAGTGCCTCTAGAGGTATGCCAGGCGGATGGCATCTCCCCACGGGAAGTCTCCTCTCCGCCTGGAGCCTCTAGACCACTCGAACTTGAGGGGATCGGCTCAACTAGAGGGCGTTTCTGATACTCGGATCTCGGCTCTAGTTAGCCGTTGTCGTGGGGTGCCAGATTGAGGGGAACCAAAACGAATGCAGGTGTACGCGACTCCGTTAATTTACACTTAGTCGTTTGTCCGAATTCCATAGGCGGGTGCACCAAGTATAATTGCGTCTTTAGTTTCTTATAGTGATAATTGCTTCAAAATTTGTCTCAAAAAGATTTTCGTCTTACAGTTGCAAGTCACTTAATAAATATTTTATTTCGTTATTCGATTGGTTGAATGGAGTGATCCAAATATTTGTCTAGGGTCCAATTTCCTAACGGGATTGCTATGACTATCGTTATCGCTTACGATATCATTTTGTTATTTCTGACCGCGCCGCAGGTTTCCAAATGATACGCGTTCTTTTTTTTCTTTTGCATTGGTAACAACAATATAATAGAAAATGAGCGTGAGTGAAATAACAAAATGAAATCGTAAGAGATAGCAATAGCCATAGCAATCCCATTAGGCAAATGGTCAGAGTTATAGACTAGATTTTTATATATGAACACATTTTCGTTAAAAGGCTTGCTAAATTACAGCGGTTATAGAGGAAAAAAGCATAACTCCTTATTTTACATAAAATACTAAGGAACAAAATTTAGATACTGACTAATATGTATATTTAATTTCATATTGAAACTATGCACGGATCGCCATCTCCACAGATCCTTCCGCACTAGTCTGCAAAGCTAGAAACTCAGTGGCAACGCGTTAATATGGGGGAGATAACTACATTTTATAACAGAATCCTCCAAGACATATTCCTGGGCGCACAATCTGATTGCAGATAACAATAGAATAAACCTGCCCGCGAGGCGCGAAATGCGCGCATTTTAATTACACTTCCGTGCTTCTAAATTATGCATGGAGTCATGTCGTTATCCTTAATAGGTTGGATAAAATCCGAGATGGCTTTGCCACTGGAATTGCTCAGATAAAGCTACAAGACAATGTTTGACATAGCTTCTAATTGTTAAATAAACGTTAAGCACCTACATATAATTCGAAATTCAAAAATTACAAGCGATTTGTGCAACGGAGTCGATGACCTTTATCAAAACATAATGTTATTTACGGCTGTACAAAAAGACGTCAATTAAAGTATTTTCTTGGCGTAGCAACGTCATAATTATGTTTCTTTCATGGGTTTCTATTGCAATAGAATGACAGCAATAATTAATTATTGACGTTATTGACTCAATCTATCGATAAACACATATTATTATTATTTGCATTGTAACGACATAGGGTTTGAAAAATATGCAAAGTTTCTTCATATTTTAGTCATCTTAAAGTCTTCAGTGCGAAGAAGGTAAAAATACCAGCCCCTCTAGCATATGACAAACAACACATTTTTATCACACTCAATTGTCATATTACTATGTAGTTTGACGGTTAGACGCGATAAAAAATGTGATATATAATGTAAATTGTGGTGCTTATGCTACGGGGACTGAAACAGTTTCCGAATAAGCCCAGTCCGCTTTTACTATCTGCACCGGAGAATATTATTAGCTGACCTATTCCATAGACATTTTCATTCCTCTTCTAATCCGAATTTTCTTAATTTATATCTGTTATTGAATATCCATTTTTGTTAATATTTAATAGCCCGAGGCAGAAAAATGCGAATAACTAACTTATTATTTACTAGCGACCGACTTCGTCTGCGTTTACTTCGGTTATTTGGGAATCTCACAGGGGCCAAACTTTTTTTAGGGATAAAATATATCCTATGGCTCAATCCAAGCCATAAACTATATGCGTAACTTTTTATTTCAATCCATTGTGTAGTTTTTGTGTGATTGGGTGCCTAAGAAACATACAAACTTACACCTTGATAATAGGTATTACATAATAGAAATTAGGATTAACTGGACAGCAACTGATCAACAGATAATCGACGTTTGGCATATATGAGCATACCACAAGGTAATTTAGTAAGACCGATAGAGAACTAACGGGAATCATAAATATACTAAAAAAATATATATGGTGCTATCTAACCACCGTTATAGCACATCGACATTAACAAAGTGACATTACCGAGGCAGTAAAAAGCATTCGAGTCGAGTACGACAATAATCCGAATAATCCAACAGGATGACGTTACAACGCGTTAGCAAAAGTCATCGGCAGTCATAGCACGTCGCTCCCAGGCTGCGACATCCAGCCTGATACAGAGAGAAAAAAATACACGAACAACTTTCACAAAAGTGGGAGAAGTCATTTATCAAGCCAGCACTAAGAACTCTCGACAGGGAGAACTTTTGATACAGGATACCCTGCCACCAGACATTAATAACAAGGATATCATACCACTCGAAGCATTTTTTATAATGTCCCCGACGTGTTTTATCACTTAAGCCGCGGAACTTTTCTCTTAACATCATAGAGTTTTTGCGCTTGCAGTACTCGAACCGCGATCTAGATGGGTTTTTATTGTAGTTTTTCTCCTGTGCATGTACGGAAGTAAGTACTTTGTTGTTGGAAAGAGCTTTCTTTAACGAAAATAATTTTGTAAGTTCCATTTCAAGAGTCTTTACTGTTTTAGTACTTACACAGGTTCTTTGATGAAAAGAAATTTTTAAATCTTTTTGAAGCGATGAAATGGAATGCATCATTAAAAATATTATCGATGGCAAACAAATAATACACGGTTGCTTTAGTCACGGTACCTCCTGTTACTGAAACTTTGGCATTGTTCTGTACGTAACTAAGTTCCAGTTAGTCGCGTAAACGACTTTACGTGTCGAACAAGGAAATCAAATTATCAACTCCCGCGAAGTTGGTACCTCTTCCAATCCGTATGAGATACTTCTACCCACTTCCAAAATACGGGTCATTTTGTTGTAGTTCACCAAAAGATGAAAAAAATGTAAACAATTCAATACCTAAAAAAATACGGATGGAGAGTTGTTATTATTTTTATTTTTCTTTGATATTTGACACAAAGCAATCACAAATCGGTAAGATTAAAAATTCCATTAAGCAGTAGAAATCAATTCAAGCTTTGATGGATGGATTTCATAAAAGATTCAATAGTGTTTCCAGGAACTAGTAAGTACACCGTATCTATAATAATCCTTCAGACGTTGCAAGTTTCCTTTTTTAACTCACTGTGGTGGCTCGATTAAGAAAACATTACATAATTGTGCGAGAGCGGTCGAGCGAGCAAGTGGCGCCATGCGAGGGAACGTGTAACTATGTAGGGGCGAGAGGGTGAGCGGGTGCGAGAGGGGGGCAATGTCGGAGGGGCAGCTATGAGCGTACCACTCTCGCCAAACTGGCGGATCGCTTCGTCAGTCGCGCTTAATCCATTATGAGGCTGGCACGCGTCAGCGTCGCCCCCGACACCGAACGTACGTGTGTCGCGACGTAAACACAACCAGTGAAGTGAACAGCAGTTACTGATAAAGTCTTCATTATACTAATTAGACTCATTATCTGTGAAAAAGTAACTGTTTTAATTATTGTCTCGCTGCATACGATTAATACAAATGTGTTTGGAAAATGTTTCAACTGCTGACTCTTTTGTTAGTGACTTTGAGTGTTAATGCCGCTTATGGTCCGAAAGGCTTGGATAATTGCAACCACCATTTGGGAAGTGACAACGCTGGCACCTGGTGCCGGGTGCGGACTCTAGATGCCGAAGGAGCCAGTTTAGCATCTGCTCCCACAGAGCTTACTAAACGTTTAACAGTGGAGTGCAATCAACTACTACTCTTCGAAAGTTACCTGGAGGCTAACTATTTTCAAAGATTTTCTTCACTTGCGGAACTTACTGTGCACAATTGCAAACTTCTCCGGGTACCAGGCAACACTTTCGAAGGATTGCGAGAACTTAAAAAGTTGTCAGTACGTTCTAAAAATAGCGACTGGAGTCCGAATAAAAATTTGGAACTGTCACATGGAACCTTTAATGGTTTGAGAGAACTTCAAGACTTGGATTTAGGCAAAAATAATTTGAAAGCTATTCCCTCTGATGTGTTCTGTCCTTTGGATAATTTACAAGTTCTGAATCTCACTAATAATAAAATCAGAAGTGTAGACCGACTCGGTTTCGGCAAAAGCTGCGGTTCCGGCGTGCGAAGTTTAGATTTGAGTCACAATGAGCTCAAGTCTTTATCAGAAGAGTCAGAAATTGCAGGCTTACGTAGACTTCAAGAGTTGCGACTTCAGTATAATAATATAAGTGATATTTCCAGTGAAACATTCAATGGACTGATTTCCCTTAGAATATTGAACATTTCCTACAATAACCTTCAGTTGATACCCGAAGGTACATTTGCAAATACAAAAGAGTTACGAGAAGTTTATTTGAATAATAACCAGCTATTTGAGTTAGCTAGAGGCGTATTCCACCGATTAGAACAGCTGCTTGTCTTAGATTTATCGAATAATCAACTTTCAAGCGCTCACATTGATGGCGGAACGTTTACTGGCCTCATACGCTTAGTCATTTTGGATTTGTCTAATAATGCTCTAACAAGGATAGATGGTAAGACATTCAAAGATCTTTTCTTCTTGCAAATATTAAATTTAAGAAATAATTCAATCGGTTATATTGAAGAGAATACGTTTCTTCCTCTGTATAATTTGCACACGTTGATTTTGGCAGAAAATCGTTTACATACGATTGATGAATTTTTGTTTAATGGACTTTTTGTGTTAAGTAAACTTAATCTAAATAATAATTTGTTGATTAATATTGATCCTAAGGCATTTAAAAACTGTTCAGATTTGAAAGAATTAGATTTAAGCTCTAATCAATTACCAGATGTACCCTCTGCAATTTGGGAACTGTCACTTTTGAAAACTCTAGATCTCGGCGAAAATTTAATTTCAAATATAAAAAATGGTTCATTTAGAAATTTAGATCAGTTAACAGGATTGAGGTTAATTGACAACCAAATTGGTAATTTAAGCATTGGTATGTTTTGGGATCTGCCAAGTTTACAGGTATTAAATTTAGCCAAAAATAAAATACAAGCTATTGAAAGAGGCAGTTTCCAAAGAAATAAGCAGATAGAAGCTATAAGACTCGATGGAAATTTTATATCTGATATCAATGGAGTATTTTCTGCATTAATGAGTTTGTTATGGCTTAATTTGTCTGAAAACCATCTTGTTTGGTTTGATTATGCATTCATTCCTAGTAATCTGAAATGGCTTGATGTGCACGGTAATTTTATTGAACATCTGGGAAACTATTATAAGCTGCAAGATGAACTTCATATAAAAACATTAGACGTAAGTTATAATCGAATTACAGATCTATATCCGCTCTCTATTCCTAATAGTGTAGAATTACTGTTCATTAACAACAACCATATAAATAACATCGTTGTAAATACGTTTATGGAGAAACACAATTTGACTAGAGTTGATATTTACGCAAATGAGATATCTCATTTAGATCTAAATAGCCTGCAGTTATCCCCAGTTCCTTTAAACAAATCTTTGCCTGAGTTCTATATTGGAGGAAATCCGTTCAACTGCGATTGCTCAATGGAATGGTTGCCTTTAATAAACAATATGACAGCAATGAGACAACACCCTCGGATTATGGATCTCGAGAACGTATTATGTAAAATGACACATGCAAGAAGTGTGACGCACATACCCCTAAGTAATTTAAAATCAACCGATTTCTTATGCACCTATGAGACTCATTGTTTCACACTATGCCATTGTTGTGATTACGTGGCTTGCGATTGCCAAATGACGTGCCCAAATAACTGTTCGTGTTATCATGATCCCACTTGGCACACGAACGTAGTCGATTGTTCCAGCCAACGTGCTATAGAAATACCAGAAAAAATTCCTATGGACGCCACCGAGGTCTATTTAGACGGAAATGACTTCAAAGAATTGCAAAATTATGCATTTATAGGCAGGAAAAATATGAGATCTCTTTATGTAAATTCGAGTGAAGTTGAAAACATACAAAACAAGACGTTCGCTGGTTTATCCTCCCTCATTATTTTGCATCTCGGTAACAATAAACTAAAACACTTAGACGGTCACGAGTTTGAACATCTGAGTCAGCTTAACGAACTCTATTTGCAAGATAATTTTATAAGTCACATTGCGAACTCAACATTTTCTACGTTAACTTCATTAAAAATTTTAAGACTAGATGGTAATAGGCTAATAGATTTTGCTGTTTGGAGCTTGGGTAATAAAATTAATTTAAAAGCTGTAGCGCTTGGTAACAATTTGTGGTCATGCAAATGTAGATACTTACAGAGATTTACAGCTTTTATATCAGACAATGTTCCTAAAATTATAGATATAACAGATGTATGGTGCTGGAATATCGACTCTCCGTCGCCACAAAAGAAAGAGCTCAACCTTAATGGTACAATATGCAGCGACTATTATGCGGGAGATTCTGTTATAGATAACATGTTGGTCTCAAATTATATGCCTATGATGGTAACCACACTTACTGGATTTATGCTCATCATGCTAGTCATCCTCGTGATTTTCTTATTTAGAGACACGATTCGCATATGGCTCTATACAAGCTGTGGGATAAGATTGTTTCCATTCACTGGAGCGTACGACGACACTGATAAATTATACGATGCTTATGTCTGCTACAGCCCAAAGGATGATGATTTTGTTATTCAAACGTTAGCCGCTGAGTTGGAAAATGGAAGCCCTTCGTATCATCTCTGTTTACATTATAGAGATATACCTCAACATGGTGTGAATTATATGCAGTGTACGTTACCATTACCTGAAGCTGCGGAAGCTTCCAAAAGAATAATTATAATCTTGACCAGAAATTTTGTAGAGACCGAGTGGTCCCGCTTTGAATTTCGACAAGCGTTGCATGAAATACTGAAATCACGAATTTATAGTTTAGTTATCATAGAGGAGAGTTCGGTTTTGCCCGAGGCGGAAAGTGATCCAGATTTGAGGCCATATCTGAAAACGAGTTCGAGGATACGGTGGGGCCAAAATAAATTTTGGGAGAGGTTGCGTTACGCAATGCCGGACCGAAGATATAAATCAAAGCCGTCTAGTTACAGGAACAATATAAATTCCTATACAATGCGAAGTGGCATGCAGAATGGTACAATGAGGTCGTTTTCGTTTACTGAGAAAATAAGAGGCTCTGCGGATGGGGTCAGTTCAACGCCCGAGTTTAATGAGGATAGACCGCAACAAGCTCATATTCCTTCATACGGAACTGACGGTAGGCCACCTTCAGACCATATATATTCATCTATAGATTCAGATTATTCATCTTTAGAATTAGGTGCAAATAATCCCAATAGGAGGAGGGAATTCAGACACTGGCCTCCTCCGCCACCCCTCATAGATACCCAGTCGTCAGGCCAAGCCTATCTTGTCTAGTCCGCTTGCAAACTCAATACTAAAAATAGATAACATTTAGTCAAAGCTTCATGTGAATATTGTATTATCGCAACGCGCGCTTTACCAAATAATTAAAATTTTAATCTATTTTTGTAATTTCTCGCCGTTTCAAAGGGCGTTCATTTCATAATTTTGTTGTAAATACATTCTATAAGACTGCTGTAGTATATTATGATTGTGAATTTGTATATAATGTGTAAATAAATGTCCATATAAGTCACGAGTATACTATTTATATACTTTAATAAAGCCATTGTGATAATTTTTGCATAATTTCTTATCTTTTATTTCCTCTTCGACAATCTTAAAACCTTTTTAATAAAAATTAAAACCTAAGTTTACCCTGGAATTCAATTTTATTAGTATTTCTTTTCTTCTTTCTTTCATTTCATATTTAAACAAAACTAAAAGTATGTATCTAATTCTAGTCAACATTTTACAAATAAATAAACGATTAAATATTTATGACAGAGAAAGCATTCGAAATTTCAAAGATTCTGCAATGGAACGAAACAAGATTTAAGAAAGGGTCTCTTGATACCTGAGGACTAAATCTGACAAACCGTTGGACATAAACGTGAGGAGAATGCTTGTATTAACGATATGGCGGTTCATATTATAAAGACAATGTGTATGCCTGGTGAATTTGAAATCACACTTGCGAGTCTGTATCAAGAATTTTGCCGCAATATTACGGTAGCATAACATTTAACGTTGAAACGACTCCTTCTTGTAGTCTTGTATTATATTGCGGCGTATATAAGAAATTCAATGCACGTTATTTTCTCCTACCGGAACATTTTTCAAGTTATCCTACTAATATTATAAATGTGAAAGTTTGCATGTTGTAACTCAATCACGAAAAAACTAATCATCGGATTTGCATGTAATTTGGTATGCATATAGCCTTTTATCCCGAAAAAATGTTATGGGTCCAGTGGGATTCTCAAAAAACTAAAGTTAACGCTGACGGAGTATTGGGAGGTCGCAAATTTATTATAAAATTTTTAATTGAGAGCACACTACGTACAGTAAAATAGGTATATTAGTAAAAACTCAAAAAATAATATATTTTTTATGGTTTTTGTTGGTATGGTTTGGTTCACCGAAATTGTTATTCATTCGACTAGAGGTTGCTTTAAAGAATAACCTTTTCATAAAGTTGTCACCACTCCACAAACAAGTTATGGAAAGTTTCTCAGAATGCCTAGTTTAAGAATATTTGTTTGTTTTCTCTTGAACTGTCGTAAGGGCTCAAAACAAAACAAATACAATGGCAATATCTTTAATTTGTATGTATAGTAAAATTTTGGACTTACGAGCTTTCGCCAGCGACTTCGCCCACATTATATTTAGTTTTCTTTTCGAGACTTCCATAGGAACCTTACATTTTCCAGGATAAAAAGTAACCCACTGTTCAGAAAGTAATCAGGCAATAAACTATATAATATGTTTGCCGAATTTCATCCAATGTTTTTCAGTAAATTTGGCATGATTGGATAACAAACATCTACATTTATAGTATTAGTAGGAATTAGAAAAGAAAACTGCTCTGCCAAATTGACATTTTGAATTAGGATCTCAAACATTGACAATACTTATTTAAGTAAAGAATCGTATTGTACAATACGATGATCCGTTCTTCTTTAACGGGTCAACTTTAGATTAAGGCAAATGGATTCTAATTGAGCCGGCTCGGCCCCTGCTGAGCACAATAGGACTACTGGGAGCGGAGTGATCTAATCTAGGAGCTACCTATAACCGGTCATGCAGGAGCCTACGTAAGTATCCATTATTACCTTTCTTTTATTACATACGAGAACGCGTGTGCCTTCTTCACTGTAAACTTTAGCCCTCCTATTAATAAATTGAGAAATGAAGAATAAGTTTGGATAAGTTACTCTATGTTTTGTCTCTGTTCATTGAATTACAAATGGCACCTGAGTGATATGAACAAAACTCGGAGTAACTAGTCTAAGCTTATTCCTTGTTTATTAATATGGAGGTATGAGTAGAAAAATCTAAAATCAAGAAATTTCTACTCTCGAATCTAATGGTAACCATACATGTTGCTTATACCATAACTAACATACTATATGTATTTTAAAAAGCACTGGTATTTGAAAATTGTTTACTGAATATTTTTGGGCTTATGTATATCTATTCTTACCTTTTTTCAAATTATGTGATGGAGGTTGACCTCAATACATATTTATAAGTTTGATGTCAGCTTTCAATTTGACGACACTGTATAATGCAGGAGAAATAAGCAGCCCTTGCTGAGTTTTGCCGGTTGTTTTTAGTACAAGGTCTCTCGCCATAGATTTGCTAACCGATAGCGTAGCTTTTGATTTTCACATGTGCTTGTAAAAGCCTAAACTGAATAAATTAATATTGAATTGAATTGTTGTGGTATATTTAAATCAAGCAACAATAAATGCATGCTTACCGTCATTATTCCAGGTTCAAAAGAGTCTCAATCCAGTATCTATGTGTTAAATTTTATCATAATATGTTTATATGAGGTTACACCAGTAGATCATTATAATCCCTTTGGAACCTAATGATAATTGTATAATTACAACATGTATATGTTGCAGTATAAGTTAACTTACGTAAGTATAATGCTACATGTGAGCCTACCATCTTTTATCCGGGATCTAAAGTGTCACAATCCAGTATCTATGTTAAATCTTATCATTCTTACAAAGCCACAGGTAACCAATAGTCATTACCTGCACTTTAATAAGCTCCATCTAACATGACATGAAAGTAACTATTATTAGACAATTCTAATACAATAATGCTTTACGGAACTCGCAAGAAAATGTCCATCTTTACACGCCCATAACAAAATGTTATAGTTTCATATAACCATAAACTTAAAACGTCAATATGTTTAGTGCAGCGATCAAACAAAGAATTATGACGGGGCGCGGTCGGAAAGAGAACGTCTTCGTTTTTTGTCACAAACACTAGTAGCTGCTTTCTTAGACAAACAAAAGATGTACCAGGCAATCATAAAATGCGTGAAGCGTTATGACTCTTTGTTGACTAAGGTATCTTTTTACATAAATATTGTGAGAGAGTCAGTAATATTATCTGGAAGGTACGTCGATACTGACGTAACAGCCTCTTTGCCTATTGTTCTGCTTTTTTTTGTTGGCTCCGTTTCATTTTTAACAACAAAGGAGTTTGCACGGTGTGACAAGTTTGAAATTAGCAAAAACAAATACATATCTTCCTTGAAATTTATATTATGAAAGCTTTTATAGTAAAATAAAAATGAACAAGCGCAAGTCGGACTTGCCCATCGAGGGTTCCGTACAAATTTGTAGGAAGCCAACTTAAACAATATTTTTTATGTTAACTTAGAAATGTGTTCTCACAGCTTCAAGGGAGAGTAGACTTGATATCTACGATATGATTTCAATTTTATATCTCAACGCGTTCCTGAGATAAAGGGTCTTGACAGACAGATGGAAAAACGGACAACAAAGTTGATCTTAAGGGTTCCGTTTTTTTTTTCCTTTTCAGGGAACGGAAGCTTGATAACTTTCTTAATTCATATCTTATTAAATAGATCGGCAAGAAATAATATAGATACCTAGTTGTTACAAACGTATGAAAAAATCATCACACATTGTAAGTTTTATTTAATTTTTATTATTTTTAAAGCATGTAACTGCTTGATGTTTAAATCTAAAGAAAATATAACTAGAAAAAATTCCACGCGGACCAGGCAGCAGACGGGACTCGAACCCGCACCCTTCGCAATCCGGGCGAATGCACTGACCAATTATGCTACCGCGGCCCTCATGGACCGCGTCGAAATTCTTTCTAGCTATTCTTAAGCTGCAGGGCAGCGCCATCTCTTCGCATTATAGGTAAACCCACAATGTCAAATGAATACTTTTACAAGTATTAAACATTTGAAAGAAGAAATAGCAATTATAGTTATAATTTTTATTATTTTTAAAGCATGTAACTGCTTGATGTTTAAATCTAAAGAAAATATAACTAGAAAAAATTCCACGCGGACCAGGCAGCAGACGGGACTCGAACCCGCACCCTTCGCAATCCGGGCGAATGCACTGACCAATTATGCTACCGCGGCCCTCATGGACCGCGTCGAAATTCTTTCTAGCTATTCTTAAGCTGCAGGGCAGCGCCATCTCTTCGCATTATAGGTAAACCCACAATGTCAAATGAATACTTTTACAAGTATTAAACATTTGAAAGAAGAAATAGCAATTATAGTTATAATTTTTTTTTTTTTTTTTTTTTTTTTTTTTTTTTTTTTTTTTTTTTTTTTTTTTTTTTTTTTTTTTTTTTTTTTTTTTTGACATTGTGGGTTTACCTATAATGCGAAGAGATGGCGCTGCCCTGCAGCTTAAGAATAGCTAGAAAGAATTTCGACGCGGTCCGTGAGGGCCGCGGTAGCATAATTGGTCAGTGCATTCGCCCGGATTGCGAAGGGTGCGGGTTCGAGTCCCGTCTGCTGCCTGGTCCGCGTGGAATTTTTTCTAGTTATATTTTCTTTAGATTTAAACATCAAGCAGTTACATGCTTTAAAAATAATAAAAATTATAACTATAATTGCTATTTCTTCTTTCAAATGTTTAATACTTGTAAAAGTATTCATTTGACATTGTGGGTTTACCTATAATGCGAAGAGATGGCGCTGCCCTGCAGCTTAAGAATAGCTAGAAAGAATTTCGACGCGGTCCATGAGGGCCGCGGTAGCATAATTGGTCAGTGCATTCGCCCGGATTGCGAAGGGTGCGGGTTCGAGTCCCGTCTGCTGCCTGGTCCGCGTGGAATTTTTTCTAGTTATATTTTCTTTAGTTTTATTTAAGTTAATGCTGTCACGTTCTTTGTGTTAGCATTAAAATAGGACAACACGTCACTTTCTCAATCATTAAATTAAATTGACATCTTTAAAAAGATGTGAGTTTTTTAAAACTTTTACCTTTTAATAAAAAGTTTTAAAAAACTCACATTTTTTTTCGATGAGACGGGGAGAAAGAGACAATACAACATCCATCACGCATTGTAGTTAGTTAACTGTTTACAAACACCTCCAATAAGCGAGATTGCATGATGTCACTTAATAACACTAACGAACGCTCAGAGACATAAATTAAATATTATGTTTGTCGCAGTGGCATATCTATACTACAATTATAAAGAGAAAATGATTGGTGTTTATTTTTGTGTGTTTTATACGAATGAAGTCAATTCTTGCTGGACGTATTTCAAGAAATCTTTTGCAATTAGAAAGCTCCGGGATTTCTGGGTGGCATAGGTGATATTTATTTTACGTGATATTTTATGACCGAGCAA